AAGGAAGGAAGGAAGGAAGGAAGGAAAAGGAGGAGGGCTGTGAGGTCCTTGGTGCTCTTTGAGCTGGGTGGTTTCATTGCAGACCTTTCATGACCCAACTAGGGAACATCATCAGTGCTGGAAGGGAGGTGGGTTTAGTGGGGGGCGTAGGAGGAGGACTGTGGGGTCTTTGATGTTCTTGGAGTAACAGGGTTGGTTGTTTCCTTGCAGACCTTTCATGACCCAACTAGGTAATATCATCAGTGCTGGAAGGGAAAAGAATTTGCAGAAAGGAGGAGGAGCAGGAGGAGGAGGAGGAGGAGGAGGAGGAGGAGGAGGAGGAGGAGGAGGAGGAGGAGGAGGACTATAGGGTCGTTGGTTCTCTCTGCGGCTGGTTGTTTTCTTGCAGATGTTTCATGACCCAACTAGGGAACATCATCAGTGCTAGAAGGGAGGGAGTTTTTCCAAAGAGTGGAGGAGGAGGAGGAGGAGGAAGAGGGAGGAAGAGGAGATCCCTTGCACGGCTCCTGGCCTTCTCCATTTCACTCAAGGGACCTTGAGTGGCAAATTTGGTTTCAATGGAGGCCATAAGTCAAGGACAACTCATGCCAATCTTCTTCCTTAACTTGCCCACCAACAATCACTATCCCATCGTCCAGTGGGCAGAAGATGGGTAGGAATGGCATTAGCAACCTTCCTCTCAGCCTGATTTTTCTGATGCTTCAAGAACTCGTAGTGGACAAATCCTTAAGCAAAGCGGTGGAGAAAATGAGGGGGGAAAAAACTTGAGATATTGCTAACCCACCTTTAAAAGCAAAAAATGTCCACGAGGCCAAAAGTGATCCAGAAAGGCTCCCTGGTTGCGTAATGATATGATACAGGTGAACAGAGTTGGAAGGGACCTTGGAGGTCATCTAGTCCAACCTCCGATCCAAGCAGGAGACCCTACACCGTTTCTGAAAGTCTCAAAGGATGAAGCTCCCACAACCTCTGAAGGCAACTTCTGTTCCATGGATTGATGGTTCTCCCTGTCAGAAAGTTTCTCCTTATTTCCAGGTTGAATCTCTCCTTGGTCAGTTTCCATCCATTATTCCTTGTCTGGCCTTCAAAGATGCTTTGGAGAATAGCTTGACCTCCTTCCTCCTCCTCTCTGGGGCAGCCCCTCAAATATTGGAAGGCCGCTACCATGTCTCCCCTGGTCCTTCTCTTCACCAGACTAGCCAGGCCCAGTTCCCGCAACCGTCCGTCGTATGTTTTAGCCTCCAGTCCCCTCATCCTCCTGGTTGCTCTTCTCTGCACTTGTGTGTGTTTGTTAGGCGCAGTTTTGAGAGCACCTTGGCAGTCTACAACCTGGTGGAGGAAGAAGTTCACACACTGGTGACCAAATCCAACGGTTGCTTGGAGCACTTGGAGTTCCTCAAGAAGATCCGGGGACTCGAGGAGGAATTTCACCAGGTAAGTGAAGGCTGCAACTAAACTGCGTCCAACGCTCGTTGCATCCCATTGTGCTCATCCGTTCAGGCTTTGCATCCTTTCCTTGTTCAGGTGGCGTCACTCAAAAAGGCCAACGCAATCCTAAGTTGTATTAACAGAGGGATACAATCGAGATCAAGGGAGGTACTAATACCACTCTATGAAGCCTTAGTAAGGCCACACCTGGAGTACTGCATCCAGTTTTGGTCACCACACTATAAAAAATATGTTGACCTGTAGGAAAAGTACAGAGAAGAGCAACCAGGATGATTAGGAGACTGGAGAATAAAACATACGACGAACAGTTGCAGGAACTGGGCCTGGCTAGTCTAGGGAAGAGAAGGACCAGGGGAGACAGGAGAGTATCTTCCAGTATTTGAAGTCCACCACAAAGAAGAGGGAGTCAAGCTAGTCTCCAAAGAAGGCAGGACAAGAAACAATGGATGGAAGTTAACCAAGGAGAGAAGCTAGAGTCCTGCATCCAGTTTGGTCACCACACTATAAAAAAGAGATTTGAGACTCTAGAAAGATTGCAAAGAAGAGCAACCAGTATGATGAGGGAACTGGAGGCTCAAACATACGACCGACGGTTGCGGGAACTGGGCCTGGCTAGTCTAGGGAAGAGAAGGACCAGGGGAGACAGGAGAGCATCTTCCAATATTTGAGGGGCTGCTAGAGAGAGGAGGAGGAAGGGGGTCAAGCTATTTTCCAAGGGAGCTGAAGGCCAGACAAGGAATAATGGATGGAAACTGAACAAGGAGAGATTCAACCTGGAAATAAGGAGAAACTTTCTGACCGGGAGAATAATCAGTGGAACGGCTTGCTTCAAGAACTTCTGGGTGTTCCCATCACTGTGAACGAATGAATGATCTGAAAGGGACCCTGGAGGTCTTCTAGTCCAGCCCCCTGCTCAAGCAGGAGAATCTATACTATTTCCGACAAGTGACTGTCCAATTTCTTCTTAAAAACCTCCAGTGATGCAGAGCCTGCAACTTCTGGTGGCAGGCTGTTCCACTGGTTAATTGTCCTTCCTGTTAGGAAATTCCTCCTTAATTCCAGGTTGCTTCTCTCCTGGATGAGTTTCCATCCATCGTTTCTTGTCCTGCCTTCTGGTGCTTTGGAGAATAGTTTGACCCCCTCTTCTTCTTCTTTGGGGCAGCCCCTCAAATACTAGAATTCAGCTGTCACGTCACCCCCTCGTTCTTCTTTTCTTGAGACGGGACAAACCCGACTCCTGCAGCTGTTCTTTGTTTGTTTGCGTCTCCAGGCCTCTTGGTAGGACAAACAAAGCCCCCAGTGACAAGAAGAAATTTAAGACTGGCCCAACTGGGCTTCGCGTTCTCTAGAAACGGAGCATCAGGTGGAGTGACCTGGCTAAAACCGTTGTGTGCTTGGCTCAATTTCAAAGCAAGTCCTTGTCCAGAGAAAGAGGTTGTTTCTCTCTCTCTCTCTCTCTCTCTCTCTCTCTCTCTCTCTCTCTCTCT